TGTTGATGCCAATGTTCAGTTCCGTCTGGGAAATGTTGATGCATTTCAGCTGGCAGATGGCTTACAATATATTTTTTCACATGTGGGTCAGTTGACGGGTATGTACCGTTACAAGTACAGGCTTATGAGGCAGATTCGAATGTGCAAGGATTTGAAACATTTGATCTATTATCGATTCAATACTGGGCCAGTTGGAAAAGGTCCTGGTTGTGGTTTCTGGGCACCTATGTGGAGGGTGTGGTTATTCTTCCTTCGTGGTATAGTGCCTCTTTTGGAACGATGGTTAGGAAATTTACTGGCGAGGCAATTTGAGGGTCGCCATTCAAAGGGGGTGGCCAAAACTGTCACAAAGCAACGTGTTGAAAGTCACTTTGACTTGGAGCTCCGTGCTGCAGTAATGCATGATGTCCTTGATGCTATGCCAGGTGATAATCTTCTCTTATTGACTGTCTGTCTTTCTTGGGATGCTTTCGTTTCTTGACATTACTCGAACCAAATCTTTTTGCTAATATAGTGCCTCTTTACTTTAGAGGGTATCAAGCAAAATAAAGCGAGAACCATTTTGCAGCATCTAAGTGAAGCATGGCGTTGTTGGAAGGCAAATATTCCTTGGAAGGTACTATTCTTCTTCTCCGTTTCCCCTCTTCTGTCACAATGAGTTTCGCTTTAGACTACACATCTATTTAATTAGTTCTTTTGGCTATTTTTTTTATTAGGTCCCAGGTTTGCCTGTTCCTATTGAGAACATGATTCTCCGCTATGTCAAATCAAAAGCTGATTGGTGGACAAATGTTGCTCACTACAACCGTGAACGTATAAGAAGAGGAGCAACCGTTGACAAGACTGTGTGTCGTAAGAACCTTGGAAGATTGACTCGCCTTTGGCTGAAGGCTGAACAGGTGAGCTTTACTGATATTATCTGTGGGTTTTCTTTTGCTCAAAAAATTGCATTGGTGTTATAATATCTGCTTATTGTAGACAAGCTTGGTGGTAATTCATGTTGCTTTGTGGTTTCCTTCAATTAACAGGAGCGGCAACATAACTACTTGAAAGACGGCCCATATGTTACTCCAGAAGAAGCAGTAGCTATTTATACTACCACTGTGCATTGGTTGGAGTCGAGGAAGTTTTCTCCTATTCCATTCCCTCCATTGTCATACAAGCATGACACGAAGCTACTTATCCTTGCTCTTGAGAGACTGAAAGAATCTTACAGTGTGGCTGTGAGGTTAAACCAGCAGCAAAGGGAAGAGTTGGGCCTCATTGAGCAAGCTTATGATAATCCGCATGAGGCATTGTCAAGGATTAAGCGTCACCTGCTTACTCAGCGTGCCTTCAAAGAAGTAAGTTTTACTATTTGAAATTCATTTTTGAGTGTTAAGGAGCTCAATGTACTGATTTGGTGGGATCAACTATGATCTTGTTGCATTATCCTAGGTTTATAAAGTTTATATCCTATGGGGTCGTTTGGTTTGAAGACAAGTTATGCTGGGATTAGTTATGCTGTGACTAGTTATCCTGATATTATTTCTTATTGACTGTTTGATATATTGTTTTAATCCTGAGATTGTTAATTTTAATGCTTTATCTTGGGATTACTATTCCACCATCTGACAGATATAAGTTATCCCGGTACTATTCTTAATCCTGAGATTATTTTTATCCCAGGATTATTTTTGCTTATCCATCATACCAAACGACCCCTAAGTATTTACTTAATCCAAATAGCCTAAACGAGGTTGCTGAAAGGTCATACAAGAATCAGGGATATCAGATAGTTAGACCACTCTTGCTACTGCTGCCATACCATGGTCCAATTTTCCCATAATTTTGCACACTCAGAGATTTGGTATCATGTAAATTCTGCTGAAAAAACCTAGGTCTATGATATGTTGGAAAAAAATCCTTGCTAGGATTAAATATAAATTGGAGTTACCCCTCTCTCTCTCTCTCACTACATGCACACACACACACACATGTATCAGTTAATTGAAATTTGGGTTAGAGAAACAAGATAAGATGTGCGCTCTGATCATTTCCTGGAAGTTGCTGAAGAGAGACCTTCTAATTCAGTTTGGTAGTATCTGTAAGAATGTCTTTCTTCAAGTATGAACTGATGATTGCATTTCACAGGTTGGCATCGAGTTCATGGACTTGTACAGTTACCTGATTCCTGTTTATGAGATCGAACCACTTGAGAAGATTACTGACGCGTACCTGGACCAGTACCTATGGTATGAAGGTGATAAGCGCCATCTCTTCCCAAATTGGATTAAGCCTGCTGATTCAGAGCCACCACCACTATTAGTATATAAATGGTGTCAAGGCATAAACAATTTGCAAGGAGTATGGGACACCAGTGAAGGACAGTGTGTGGTGATGCTGCAGACAAAGTTTGAGAAATTCTTTGAAAAGATTGACCTGACCATGTTGAACAGGTATTTGTTGTTGAGAGCTGCTGGTATTTGATTTCATAACGGTTCTTTTTTCCTTTTTGGGTATTGTGTTGACCTACTTTCATTTTCTTGCAGGCTTCTGCGTTTGGTGCTGGACCACAATATTGCTGATTATGTTACTGCAAAAAACAATGTTGTGCTGTCTTACAAAGATATGAGCCACACAAACTCATACGGGCTGATACGTGGTCTTCAATTTGCTTCGTTTGTTGTACAGTACTATGGGCTTGTGCTGGATCTTTTGCTCCTAGGTTTAACTCGAGCTAGTGAAATTGCTGGTCCACCACAGATGCCTAATGAATTCATAACCTTTAGTGATACTAGAGTGGAAACGAGGCATCCTATAAGGTTGTATTCTCGCTACATTGACAAGGTGCATATATTATTTCGCTTCACTCATGAAGAGGCTCGGGACCTTATCCAAAGATATCTTACTGAGCATCCTGATCCCAACAATGAGAACATGGTTGGTTATAACAATAAGAAATGCTGGCCTAGAGACGCAAGAATGAGGCTCATGAAGCATGATGGTAATTGTCATTTAGGCTATTCTATGTTGTGCCTTAATTTTGAGTTTCTATAATTGGTGTTTTTTCCCGATTACAGGTAAATTTAATGAGAATTGATTTATTTTTATTTTACTGTGAAGCTTGACTTTCTGTTTGGTTAAATTCAATTTCAGTTAATCTTGGGAGAAGTGTCTTCTGGGACATGAAGAATCGGCTGCCTAGAAGTATTACTACATTGGAGTGGGAAAACAGCTTTGTCTCTGTTTATAGCAAAGATAACCCAAACTTGCTCTTCAGCATGTACGTACATCTTTCTGTTTGTTGTCTGTTATAGCTTTTTTGCATGGTGATATCTATTTAGAGAATCCTGTTGATTATTTGAATGATATTCTCGGGGTTGGGTGGTGATGAGGACTGGATAATTCCATATTTTGAATTCTACCCCAGAATCCTTTGTGGCTAATATCTTGGGATAGAAGTTGGAACTTATTTATGTCTACTCTTCCTAATTTTAGACCTGCTAAAAGTTCGCCGGAATATTCATTCGCGATGTTAACGGCGCACACTTTCTATTAAAGTTCGAAGTGTTGAGGATCTTATTTAATGAGCTAACCTTGACATGCTTGTGTAGGTGTGGATTTGAAGTTCGGATACTGCCTAAGATAAGAATGACCCAAGAGGCATTCAGCAATACAAGAGATGGAGTCTGGAATCTACAAAATGAGCAGACCAAGGAACGCACAGCTGTTGCCTTCTTGCGTGTAGATGATGAGCACATGAAGGTGTTTGAGAATCGTGTTAGGCAGATCCTCATGTCCTCTGGTTCTACAACATTCACAAAGATTGTTAACAAATGGAACACTGCTCTTATTGGTAACATCTTGTCCTGAGTTTCTGCCTATTAATTGTTTCAAACATGAACTTTGGCTCTTGCTAGTGGATCCTTGTCACTAAGGTTTTTGGTTTACTCTTGTAGGCCTCATGACATATTTCCGTGAAGCAACAGTGCATACCCAAGAATTACTGGACCTGCTGGTCAAATGTGAAAACAAGATACAAACTCGTATTAAGATTGGTTTGAACTCAAAAATGCCAAGTAGGTAAGTTCTTCAATACGTATGAGTGTATGGTGGAATTATTTTAATTTTCAGTAAATATATTTTCTACATCTCTTCTAATGATGAATATGCTTTAGGTTTCCTCCTGTTATTTTCTACACACCAAAGGAAATTGGAGGGCTGGGAATGTTGTCAATGGGTCACATATTGATCCCGCAGAGTGATCTTAGATATAGTCAGCAAACAGATGTTGGTGTGACACATTTCAGAAGTGGAATGAGCCATGAAGAGGACCAATTGATTCCAAATCTTTATCGATATATACAGGTGACTTTTGAAGCTGGCTTTGACTTTTCTCTTGTCCACCTAAATTAGTTTTACTAATACTAACTTATTATTCCTTGACAGCCGTGGGAGAGTGAGTTCATCGACTCTCAGAGAGTTTGGGCTGAATATGCTTTGAAAAGGCAGGAAGCCCAGGCACAGAATAGGCGTTTGACTCTTGAAGATCTGGAAGTAAGTAATCTTCCTATATTGATAACTTTCTCTTGCATCCTTTGGACCATTGGAATTTTTCTACACTATCTGCTACTCTGCTGTACTTCTTAAGTGGTTTGTGGGCCGAGGCGAGATATATCATTCGTGATATCTGGAGTATCCTTTCATTGTGGCGCCGAAAAGAAAACTACAAAATACAAAAGCAAATCATAAGCTAGTTAGCTTTTTTGGCTTTTTTGGGTGGGGGTTGATATGTGTTACTTGCAGCTTTCATGTTATTTTGGCAATTGACTGTTTGCTGGTTTTGTTAACTTTCCTCTCTTGTTATTCATTAGGATTCATGGGATCGTGGAATACCTCGAATCAATACATTATTCCAGAAGGATCGCCACACCCTAGCATATGACAAAGGATGGAGAGTGAGAACAGACTTTAAACAGTACCAAGTTCTTAAGCAGAATCCATTCTGGTGGACACACCAGAGGCATGATGGAAAGCTATGGAACCTGAATAACTATCGTACTGATGTGATTCAAGCTCTTGGAGGAGTTGAAGGAATTCTTGAGCATACATTATTCAAAGGAACATAGTATGCTCTCTTCCTCATTGCTCTTTGTATTTCTTTTAATATTATTGGGAGCCAATACGTTTTTACTCTCCGAACTGGATTGTGTGGTCTCAGTTTGCACTTTTTATAACCTTTTGGTGCAGGCTTTACTAACTTAATTTCCTTGATATTTCAGTTTCCCTACTTGGGAGGGTCTTTTCTGGGAGAAAGCTTCAGGTTTTGAGGAATCCATGAAGTACAAGAAATTGACTAATGCTCAACGATCTGGGCTTAATCAAATCCCTAATCGTAGGTTTACTCTTTGGTGGTCGCCAACAATAAATAGGGCCAATGTCTATGTTGGTTTCCAAGTACAGCTGGACCTGACCGGGATATTTATGCATGGGAAGATTCCAACTCTGAAGATATCTTTGATACAGATCTTCCGTGCACATTTGTGGCAGAAGATCCATGAGAGTGTTGTCATGGATCTTTGCCAAGTTTTGGATCAAGAGTTGGATGCATTGGAAATTGAGACTGTACAGAAGGAAACAATTCATCCAAGAAAGAGTTACAAAATGAATAGTTCATGCGCTGACATCCTCCTCTTTGCTGCACATAGATGGCCCATGTCGAAACCTAGTCTTGTGGCCGAATCGAAGGATGTGTTTGACCAGAAGGCTAGTAACAAATACTGGATAGATGTGCAGCTTCGATGGGGTGACTATGATTCTCATGATATTGAGCGTTATACACGAGCAAAATTCATGGATTACACAACTGACAACATGTCTATTTATCCATCTCCTACTGGTATGTCACGTGTGCATCTAGTGATCAACTGAATTTATTTCCTTTGTCAGACAGGTTATAGTTATTTCTTTTTGCAGGTGTAATGATTGGACTTGACCTTGCTTACAACTTGCATTCCGCCTTTGGTAACTGGTTCCCTGGTTCAAAACCATTGCTTGCCCAAGCCATGAACAAGATTATGAAGGTATTTTCCCCCTTTCAATCATCCATTATTTTCATGAACTGGTTGCCTGTAGTATATGTTGCAGCTAAAAGTTTCTTAACATCCTTGTGCTCCATTGTGCAGTCAAATCCTGCACTCTATGTTCTGAGGGAACGCATAAGGAAAGGGTTGCAATTGTATT